AATTATAGGGGCGACAATATCAATACTAACGTGATGATGGATGATTTTAGAAGCAATAGCGGCAATCGGTCCGGCGTAAAGAGATCGAGTAATTCACTAAATATGAAGTCAGTCCATACAGATGATAATAAATTTGAAAAGCGAAAGACTACGGACCTAGAAGGAGATTTCAGTTACTCCCATAAATTCGAATTAAGCCCTAGTGAAGACGTTTTGTCTCGCCAATCTGGCCAGAGCGTAATGGTATGTAGTCGAGACAGCTGATGGTCACTATCGATATTATTAGGACATCTACGTACAGTAATGCAGTCAGCAAAGCTTGCACTTCCATTCTCATTTACGATAGTCATCTTCTACGAAGAATCTTACAATAACATGATCACGTACAATTTAAATAACAACACCCTACATATTCGTAAAGAAATTCATGCTTTATTTCATTTGCTATAGTCGGCAGATACTGAAAATCAATCCAAAATACTATCATCAGTCCAACATACCGGTAAAGGTGACTTGAGGAAATATATTAAAAAGAGAACTTCAGCAGTGTACAAACGCTGATTTCTTAGAAAAAAAATGCTTTAATTTTTACTCTAGCTGAGCAAAAGAAAGATTCTCCGTTGTCAACACCTTTATCGTTAACCAAAATATTATCAAGTTGTGACGCCTTATCAAGTGACGATGATGAGAGTGAAGAATTTATTGCCGTCGATTCCTATAGAGACAGCGATGTTGAGGCAGAAAATGTTAATGCCAATATGGAGCACTTAGGTAGTGAATTAGTTTTGATGGCTATGCGATATAAATAATGAAGAATATAATTAATAACGGTTTTAATTCATATTATAACGGAAGATACATAAAACTGATTTACATCTTCTTGGCTAACCAACAGACCAGAAAACTGAAACCAAATGCGAAATGATTCCTGATAATGATAAATTACCTGTTAAACCTACAGCTGTATTGCCTAATAAAGTGAAGACTGAAAGCTTAAATGTTTCAGTACCTAGCACCGAAATAGAAACCAAAACGAAACCAGGATCAACTATTAAAGATGAAAGTATGAAAAAGTCCAGTGGGCTGCCTTTTAAGATATGCAGGTCGAGATTCTCTAATTCCGCTAAAGATAAAGCAGATACAACTGTGAAAGATAGACCCACGTCGTCTTATCGAAATCGTGAAACTAAACAGCAATCAGGAAAGCTATCAACTCGTGAAGAGGGAACAGTACGGCCTACGCAAATTATTGATGTGCACAAATCTGGCCAGACGCTATCTCTAAAGAAAAAATCGTATAAGTCGCCGAACGAAAGCTACCCTACCAAGAAAGATAGCAGCCCATATCATATAGGTAATTCATTTCGTTTTATTTGTATGATGCGATATCACTTAGTTCCTGCTGGATGTAAAATTAATTGCTAGAAATTTATTGACGTGTAGACATATATAGCAGAGGATTTAAGGCTCTATCATGGGAATTGTTCGAGTAATACTCCCTTATTCATTTTTAGATGACTCCGAGGCTGACGAACGTGACAAGTTACTACAAACTCTTTTTTGTAATGCTGAATTTTATGTTGTAAAAAGTGATAATTATGAAAATGTCGCCTTATCTAAGCAAGAGGTAACATCAGTAATATCAATATCGTAAAATTAAAATTCAGAAGATATTTATATGTATTACACTTATTAGCTGTAATCTTTTATATAGTAAGAAAATTTACTTGTATTTATATCTTGATATCAGTAATGTTATTTTTCTTAAAAGGGTGTGTGGTCTATCCAATTCAAAAATGAAGAAAAATTTGATAGCGCTTTTCGTGTAAGTTTAAATTATGATATTATAAATTAGAGAGAGCTATGATACGATTACGGTAACTATTAATCTATTTCTTCGTAGGCTGGGAGAAATGTAGTTTTATTATTTTCCGTGATTGAGAGTAAAAGCTGGCAAGGTTGGCTATACTTTACAAAATGCTTCTTATAGAGTAAATATTATAGCAAACCGTACGGTAACTAAACGTTAACTGCAAAGAGTTCACATTATTGCCCATATTTATCTACAGGATTTGCTTTAATGACATCACAAGTATTGGATAATCATAACGTACGATGGACTTTACCTTCTAAAATGGATCCTAAGGGAATTAATGGAATATTACAGATTCAATGGCTAAATAGGTTTGCTTCGGAGACAAATTATGTAGTTGTTAAAAATAATATAATTGGTCTATATTAAGGGCACTGTATGTGTTATTAAAGGTCTGAGTTACCGTTCAGTTCATGCCGATTTCGAAACTCTTATAATGACAACAGGCCTGTGAAAGCAAGCCGGGATGGACAAGTAATTTGTAGTCTTTATATAATATGATCTGATGTATACCGCCATAGATTTCGAAGCTATATTTTTGACCTGTTATTGATGTATGTTGTTTATAGGAAATTGATCCAGATGTTGCTAAAGAGTTATGCAAAATGTTTAAGCATGATCCTGGAATATCACTTTCAACTTTGTATTCTCTTGTGAAAACTTGCTCAGATAGAAGGAGGCGAAAAGTGGATCTATTTAGGTTAGGATTGCCGTCGGTGATTATCAATTATTTTTGGAGACGTGCGAGATCCGTTCAACGTTTTCCCTATCGTACTGTTATTTTGTCTTGCTTTCTGGGTTATTCCTAACGTGAGGTGTATTGAGTTAAAGATAGACTGTGGCTATTGATATCAATTTACTTCAGTACTTATAGAAAGATCGTGATTTTCATCAATAGATTTAGGACGTGACGTAATTATTAATTGAAAGGCTGTGATATGGCAGTCATTGCACGAAATTTGGTTTAATGAGTTTGCAATGCCATGAAGTGATCAATTTTTCAGCGTTTTTATTCTGGAGTTGAAGTACATTTTTTGTAAGACATAATTCGTATGAAAGGGTCAATTTCAACGGGAATACCACTTGTGTCTTTAGACCTTTAGCATTTTATTAATCTTGTCGTTTGTGAAGCTTCTTCGAAACTGCATGGTGCGTCCTTGAGATCTTGGAGTTTATCGGGGATTGCCTTCGTCATTGGTGTTACCAGCATACAACCCGTACTAAAAATAGTTCTTAGAGGTGTAATACAGATAATGAAATATACCAAATGCAGGATGTGCTTGGATTCTCTTCATCTGTTGTAAATATAATCGACAAATTATCATAATTCGATGTAATCTGTAAGCCAAGACTGCAACTACTAATCCACGATTTTGGAAATTACAATCAAAATTCACTGGTTTATCGTAAATTTAATCTTAGTTGAAAAGTCTTACACGTGCTTACTGCAACACACTTTATCACCCAATCCGATCAATCTGATATTCCCGTAGATTACGTCAGATAAATGGTCTAATAGTTAAATCGTCGCTCGTAATATCCAACAGTGTATAAGCAGCTATCAGATGTGGTTATTTGAATGCAAGATAGTCTGATGTACTTAACGGTCTCTATTTCAACGTCTCAAGTTACTATCAAGCTACATCAATTACAACGAGGGTAATTACGGTAAGACCTTTCAAATATTAATTGTATCAAATTTGTTTACAATTTTCTTAGGTATGATTCTGATGCTAAACTGCAAACAAAAGTTTATAAAGTACAGAAGCGTTCAGGTTTGTAAGCTTGCACATCATGAAATCCCTGGGATCTTTTGATACAAAATTGTATTATATAACTAGTTAGCAGTCTTTTGGAAGGCAGCCTTATTGATCATTGACTGTGCGCTTCTGTTTTAATAGACATAGAAGATAGAAGTTATAATACCAAAAAGAGGTATGTGTTTCGTTCTCTTAATTCTCCTTTAATCCGAAATTTAAGTAACTTTCGCTGTTTTTAACAGGAAAGACTATGAATTTCGTCGTGAGAACAAGACTTACGAGGTGATTTTACTGAGTATATAGAATTGTTATTATGCGAGTGTAAGTATTGGACGTTGTAGTGATTTTATAGCATGACCTTTTATTTACTTTGTAGCCGAACTTAAAGAATGCAAGAGTTAACTCATCTACATATTCTTCCGAAACCCGTCATTTCAGAGTACGTAGATTGTTTTATGATTCCTTACTTCTTAGAAGTGTTTTTTGTAGCACTTTATGCTAAGTGCGATCGTTAAGGCATTATTTTTGTGTCATTATATAACTTAGAAAGAATTTAATAAATCACTACTGACTTCGTTAGCATTGATCTATAATATATTCCCTATATTTATCTATAGCAATTCGACTTGCAAACTAGTAGAAACAGCTCTCAAGGCTACAAGAGATGAGTAAATGTAAGATGTCTATATCGCAATTTATTACTAACTTCGTAAACTTTAAATTATTAACCTTTTTGCCTGTAAACTAAACAAAATTTTAATGATTTCTTTAGCGTTAATGTTGGGCATTGCTTACGTAAAAAGAAAAATTTATCAAGAATGCCACGGTATATTTGCTGGCTTCAAATTTCTTTAAATATATTTTATCATTAAGGTTATGGATGAGATTTAACACAGTACTTTTGGACAGTCCGTTATTGTGTTGCTTAACGCCGCCACCTTTTCAGTGCTATATAATACATGAAAGTCTTCGTGGAATGCTATGGAAATTAAAGCAATGCCAGTCGCTGTGTTCAGACGTGCGAATGATTGTTGTATGATAACCTGTATTGTATTTATACGAGTACTTCGCATCTGAGTAAATTATGGTAAATTTGCTGAATTAATGTTATTGAATTTCAGGTACAATAAATAACCTCACTATTTGATTTTCTACTCATAATAATAGTTATGATGTGTTATAGTATTCACGTTGATGTTAAACAGATACAGAGTTTATGCTGTGATAAAAAATTTTATAGCAGTGCTTAGTTACTTTAGCTACATGAACGTATATCGAATAGTATACTTTTTAATTAAAGAAGAATGATTACTGAGATCGACGCTACGTCGATTATTTTACGACCACTTTACTGTGGTCAGCATATCTTATAGTTGATCTAGTTCTTCGTAGCATACTATACTCCAGTCTTTGGTTGGATTCTCCTTCATTAAATGTATTCCGACCTAATAAGCAATTCGAATATCAGATTGTTTTAAGAAATTACTATCGAGAGTATATTTTCATAGATGTAGCATAATAGTTAATGCTCTTGAAGCTACTCTGTATCAGCCGTATGAGTTACCGTTGCTTCTTCTGGTTTGATCTTAACATTGCACTTGAGATCATCAATGCTACTGATACAATTCTGGCTCCCGCTGCAATCTATTTTCACAGCCATCGGATTTTTCATCTATTTATCATAATTAAGTAACAAAAATGTGAGTCCAATTCAGAAATAGAGCTTGCGTACTGTATGGATTTTTTATAAAAAGGATAATAGAGAAAATTGATATTACTGCCATTTACCTGATTTAATACGACAAAACTTGCTCGAGTGTCTGTTTGATAAGTCCATAACTGTAGGTCCTTTAAGTCACTAATCGATTTACTAGTCCCCTTAGCAACTACGTTTGCACAGACTGCTCTATCAAGTAAATCGGCATTTTCTCTGATTGATGTTGTCTCGACGTGACCTTCACAATCTTCTGTATGAATTTCAACGATGAATGGACATATCTAGATGTATATAGGAACATACGCGATGTCAGTCAATTAATTTAGCTAGCTACCGTGTCTAAGATGTCGCTAAGATATGAAATAGCGCATCTATCGCAGCAGTTTAAGTTGCGTGACCGCTGGAAAATATTTTACTAAGTATAACATAAACAGCTGTCTTGGAATGGATAAATCTGTTTTATACCTATCGCTATCGGTCTCATCGAAGTTGCCTTACCTCGTCTGGAACAAGTGAATTATTAAGACCGATTCCATGTAATGTAAACCAAAGTTCGGTTACATCATCAGGATTATCGAGGGCTTCTTGCTCATGAATTGCGATAAATCCAGCTCGTGTTAATTCTCCATCTTTCGTTTCATATGACTCTAAGATAACGTAAAAGAAAATTAAACCCTATCCTTGAAAATGAATCATGATAAGTTGGCTCTCTTCAATAACGTGGTATGTAAACTATAACATCGCTTAATGCTAGTAAATGCTGAGCAGTGTTAAATCATTTCATATATTTTATCGCTGCGCGAAAATCGTAAGAGTACACTTCCTAATTATGTGGATTATTAGAGATGTATTGGATGATTATAAAAAAACTGCTCTGGTTCCTGCAGGACTGCAATTATACAAGTATAAGTAACATTATTAATATTTTTACAATATCTATAGGCAATAAATGTTTGAAAAAGAACTTCAATTAACTTATAAGGCTAGCACATGGAGACTTTATACTCAAAAATTTGGAAAATTGAATTGATATTTCCTAACCTGTAACATGTCCCCAGGTTTCTAAATCACATTCGTCATCATTTGCTCTTATATAGTAGTTATTGAATTCTTCGTAATTAAGTAAATCATTGCCATCCAAGTCGAAAGAATCGAATGCATGATGTAATGCATCACTAAGTAGTCAGTGAGAAAAATCGTATAAGCATGCCTTTCACTTGCTACGCTCATTTAAATTAAGGTTTCATTTCTTTTAGTTGTAATAATAACAGTATAAGAGTATAACAGTATTTTTATAATGTTAAAACTTTGAATTAGAATGTTCTATGATAGTTAATGACATCATTTGATATTTTCAATATTAGTAAAACAAACTATTCTGCATAAACTTTGACAGTATCATCGCGTTTATGAGATCAAAGCTTACATGAATGCCTGTGTTATTTCAGCTGCTTCACCACTGCCTTTTACTAATTTTGCAACTGATTTTGATTCCTCAGATCTCTGTTTAAATATACAGCCACTTGTATATGGAATCAATCTGTATTTGCCTGATCTTAAATCTGTTTTTACGCAGTATTTGCCTTTGATAGTTGCATTTTGACACGATATGTACTCTTTGATCTCATTATCTTCTTCCTTAAATATGAATAATTCCAAGTCCACACGAGCTAATTCTTTAGCTAAAGCAGTAATTGGTTTAAATAAAATGTAGAGCAAACGAGATTTAACAACGTCCAACTGTAATTCGAAATAGAAGAGATTTATGCCTTTATCATACTTATTGGTTGAGGGCAAATGGAAATCCAAACTGCTGAAGCAGTAGCTAGATCTAGTCTATACTGCTGACTGCTGAATTTGCATCTGTCGTTTACATATAAACAGCCTCTTCTGACAATATTATGCCATGACTATATCAATTAGAAATGATCGCTGTTAATTATAAGTACCAATTACTTCCAAGTGGTTACAGTTTAGTTATATAGTAACATTAAACCATCTCATACTTTTAAGTTCTTAGGTTCCACAATCGATAATTTCGTTTGCGATGAAGATTTTTTTACGGAACTAATGCTATCTTTCCGAGTCATCGATAGACTACGCTCTCTAGGAAGCGAAGCGGTGCTCGACTTTCTTGGAGAGATTTTAGGGCTAGGAGGTTCGTCTGGTTTTTGCTCTCGGATAGAAGCTAAGGAAGTTATCGATAATCGACTAGAAGATCGCTTTGAAGGTCTTGGTTGCTTAATACTTAGATTTTTTCGTTCTTTAACGCCATTTTGAGCACCTGTTCGCTTAGTAATAGACTGACATTCTTCGATAATATCCGCAAATTTTCTGCAGAACTAAATGTTATGAAGGTTGATCAGTCAGTAGTAAAATCAAAGCCTCAGCTTTATCTTACATCATCTAACCGTGTAATACAAAGATTTTTATTTAAATAATAGTGAATGTTATTCTATTTAATTATAGAAAAGGACCTCCTCAAATGGAAATCTTCCTTTATCGTCATAGGGAAAATCATCTAACAACTGCTTTAATTCGCTCTGAGTCATCCTTTCGCCATACTAAAGGAATCATTTTTTCAAAATTTGATATCATTAAAAATGAGTGTAAACATAGGACTCAATTTACTAAGGTACCATTGAAAAGATTATGTCTTTATAAATTTACATTAAATTACATCTAAGTCTTATATCCAACCTTTAGCAGAACACGCTCTAATTCATCTCTCTCAATAAAACCATCACCGTTTGGATCAACTTGTTCAAAAGCACGTAAAAGTAAATTTTCATCAACCTCTCTTTCTTGCCCAGCGTAATCGCAGAATTCGTCAAAGCTTACTGACTCTAATATAAATGATCACACTTTTAGACGACTGAATATCGATTTATGATGATTAATTATAATCCAAATACTATACTCGTATAAACTACTGCAATTATTATTGCACATCGCTAATATTAAGATAGTTAAATTAAGGGTAGTTATCCATTCAGATTTATTTACTTACCAGTGTGTTTAGACCAATAATATTTCATATTAGCTCTAGATGGATTTCTGCCCATAATATTAAGAACTATCATAATTAAATTTATAAAAAAATGCTGTAAGATTGCTATCTAAAATACTTAACCGTCAAATACGGAGGATTGTGTGGTTTAAAATAAATTAAGCCAAGCTATGCTTGTAATGTATATTAGAGTTTAACTTTATGTATATTAAATAGAGCGTAAGAAGTTGTCGAGGAACAGCATAATTATTCAATTTGTAACATCTTTATCGATATATTCGGTATCATTCTCTTACTTAATTCTAAATCTTCTTTAGATCGAATATCGTTACTGATTGAGCCAGTCACTGTTTCGTACGCTGACCTACATTCTTTTAAGAATTGATCCAGACGACTTTTATTATCCAATCTGGAGAGCATCCTGGCTAGTTCTTGATATTTTAATATTGATAAGATAATATTTTCGATCGGAATAAATGTTAAGAAAGTCAAAGGGGGCAATTTAAGCACTATGAATCGCAGTCACATTTCTCCTTTAATCATGAGGTTGTTTACAGAGATAAGTTGATATAAATTACTATTACGTCTAAAGTGAAGGTTAATTGTTTAGCAAGAATGGTACGGAATGTTTAATATTTTATATAGTTAACTAGCTTATGGAGATGTTGTTCCTTTAGAACTAGTAATTAAAGCGTGAATCTGATAAAAATTTATTTAATAAGTTACCTGAATACGATAATTTCCCTGTTCAGAGTTAAATTAATAGTAATTTTATTTAGGTACTTCGATGATATTACGGCTTCAGGATACTTAACTATTAGTAAACGTTGTCGCTTTCAATCAAATTAATCCTCGTTGATTTGGAACCAACTGCTAAGTCAAAGAAGTATTTCTGATTTACAAGATAATTACCGTACCCAATCCAACAATAAATGATCTGCTAGAGTACTAAACAGCAGTTACATTAAAGTTATGTCGATGACCAATATTATTTAAAGTGGTATATTCAGCCTTTATTATGAACTTCTGAAGCTTAATAGCAAAATATTAAGCTCATCATATGCAACCGAGAAGGTAATAGAGTAACAACGCTTTTACAAAATACCGTTCACGACGTATTTGGCCGCCAATAAGTATATGCTTAAGGTTTTAGTAATATAGACTACATACACGTTCAGTAGCATCGAAGTAATAGTTGAATAATACTTTTCGTACCGTTCGTTTCCAGTAGCTAACAAACCAGTCGGTCTAAACTAAGACGATCTCCGACAATCTGATTTTACTTTGCTAGTTTGTAGGAGTATGCACTTTTCCATCTTGTCACCATGGTAACGGTTGAATGATCGTGTTTCAGCTTGTAACCATAGTAGGTTAGTATATGTTTAGTTATACTGTGCTTGTATAGACGTTTGTGCTATATTATATATCACGAAATAATTAGTAATAAAGGGTAATAAAGGGAAAGAAATTTAAAATACAAGTATTAAATTTATTACTAGTGCATAAATTCCCAGAAATAATGTAATTTTAAGGTTTCTAAGATCAATTATTATATTGTATCGCAACTAGTACAGAATTTGTAATATATACTCCAATGCACCATACAGTAAGTGTCGCAATTCTATTATCATAAGTATACATTTATTATTAAAATATATACTTATACTTGTTTACGTGTATACCTGTTTTAATTCTGCTCAGAGTATTAGTCTGTAGTGATTAATTACTACTAATACTCGTATTGCGAATGTTATAAATTTGTTTAATATTTAAAGAAATCAGCTTTTTAGTTATATGACTAGTGTCTCTTTCAATCCTTGTTTACCTATGTATGCAGTACTCATACTATTTATTCACATATCAGTGAGTACCGTAAGTAATCTCATTTTTGAATATCAGAATGTTTCAGCAAGCTTGATTATTCCTATCTCGTAGGTTGCAGTAAACTGTTATGCCAGCAGCAGCAGTCACATTACATGACTTTAGCGAATTTAAACTATGCTATCCTTAACCATACTTTTTTATTGCAATTAATTGTCCAGCATACGTAGATATGTTTAATGCTTTCACTCAATTGTAGAACACTCTATTATAATAAAGACTTATAATATATCATGTAGTGATTGGGTTTTACAACCCTTTAGGTTCGCAACCGTCTAACTCAAAATCTTAGTTATTAAAATTGAGCAAACCTCTAACGCGACACAAAATCAGGTAAACGCCATGCTGAACGTTAAATGTATCGTTTATTAATAGAACGGTTGACATAAGAAGAAATCACTTTTCTTCCTTCTTAATAATAATTAAAAGTGGTTAAGATAAACCGGATAATCGACTTAGTCTCCACGATAACAATTCCATATTATTTAATAGTTATATTAAGACATTACACGAAAACATCACCTTATATTGCCGACTACTGCCACCTTATACACACATGGTACGAATATCATAAGTGCACCGTTTTATCATCAGCAATCATGAAATTACCTTATAAGCATACGTAATAATTAATTAATTATTGCATCATTAATGATATAATTTCGTTCAGTAAAAATGAACCATATGTTAGCACCTAACGATTGATTAACTATCATTAAATGTCATAGAAAGTATGTTGTGATTCTTGCTATATTCAGTATGTAAACGCTTGGCTATAAATTTATTATTGCTTTGCACCAATGAAGTTTGTTAGGCTATATAAAAGCCTCAAAGTTCTCAATTGAGGGAGTTGATAAGTTAGTCGATAACAGATGCTTTTCAGTTATTAGTAGTAGATTGTAAGCTGTGAGTTCAATCAGTCATTTTAATAAATAGCTTTTAGAATAAATTTTTGATTCCCCCCGTGAGTATTCTATCGTCTAAGATTCGAATATAAGTTTGGTAGTTTAAAGAGTGCTTGGAGTTGCTTAGATAGTTAAGACTACTTTAGAGAAAAGAATCCCGTTAATTTTTGTGCTGAAATCTCGGTTGTGACAGCATAGTAGACTGTTCTACTTCTTAATGCTAAGGTACTTCAATCACTGCTGTAATTAGCTGAAACTGCTACAATAACCCTTAAAAAAATATGGCAAAACTCAGCACGGATAAATATAATACGTATTAACTTTTGTTCAATCGTGATATTACGGTAATTGTAATTAGTGTAAGGCTCATCGGATCTTGCTACTAGTTCATCCACTTTGTCATTATCAATGTAAGCGCATCTGGTTCTGCACCATTGAAGTTATAGCGGTTAATCCTAAGTCTGACTATTCTAAGCTTTATAATGACAGATATGATCATAAATCTACTAATATGAAGACAATTACTCTACAATAAGATGAAACAGTAGCATTTCTACTATACTTTTAATCAAAACTGCGGCGTCGTGTAAATTTTAATCTATACAGTATGGTAGAAATTGGTAATGCAATCTCTTGTAAAAAGAACTTTATTAGTACTTTCTTAAAATCATTCGTTCATGCAGATCGTAAGTCTAACATCAGAAAAGTAATTTCTCTCAGTTTTCTGCTATCGTGCACCCTACGCTCCTTCATTTTTCGATGCACGCTTATAATTATTACTTTCTCCTACAATGTCAGTCTTAATCGGTATTCATGTACTCTATGCATTGACTACAAATTTTTTTATTAAAACTTCCAAACCGCTATTTGCACTGCACCGTGAAAACTATTCGGTACGAATATTAAACTCTATTGCAGGTAGTTTTGTAGCTAATTTCATATCGGAGTACTAAGAAATAAGTTCTTTAGTATTTATAATTATCAACATTTTAATAAGCTTAATACAGGATTATTATTATAGAATAAAATACAGGCTGGCCGATGCCACTGTCAGCAAACTTTCTAAGTCTAATAAGTAATGTTTAATATTGCATTCCGCTGCGAAATATGAACGAACAATTTATCTAATTAGCGAAATTATCGTCTTTCTAAGGCGGATATAAATATAGCCTACTCGGCTTACAGCGTTTCTAAGATAATTGCAATCATGATCTTATCAGATTAAACTCGGCTGATATGCGGCTTCCATCATATCGTTCAATTTTTAAAAGTTAAACGGATGTGATTCAGCTCTGATAAATCATTGATCACAAAAAATATAGAAAGATTTATAGCAATATCTCTTATAGCATAATTGGGAAAGATTAAGTGCCATGTTTTAGTGTTTCTTATAGAAATTTTAGTCCAAATTTTCTGTCATTTACTATTAATTTTGTTATTGATCTGTCTCAGTTTAATACCATAACTACAACGGTATCTATCAAAATCTGTGGCTATAGTGCAAATTATTGAATAAAAATTTAATATACTGTATGTGTGTTTACAATTATCCTTTAATATACCTACATGCAGTATCTTTTATTTGCTGCGGTAAATATGATCTCATATCGTATAGTTTAACGTAATTCTATTGTAAAGACAATTAAATTACGATGAGAAGAAACAAATTACATTTTCTATTATTAATAATCGATAGCTCAGGGGTAAATAAATCTCTTAAAAATGGCTAGATAAAATAACTAGCTGACCATTATACGACAAACATGAACCAACAAAACTAGATAATTATTATTATTATTAACTATAGAAAGGTGCATAGATACTTCAGTTACACACTTTTACGCATGGCCTAATTAAGAAATCCGGTAGCATTTCGTTAGAGTGGGCCAATCTAGAATAGGTAAATGATAGCTTATAACTTTCTGATGAAATTTTGAGCTATTTTAGCTCGCACAGGCAGCTACTTGAATGAAACACTTCACTTTGATAATTGGGTATCGCCATTTTCAACTAAAAATAAGATAGGTGACAAATAAAATAATGTTAATGTATTTTCTACTTGATGTTGATTGCTGAATATTAGCTATCATTAAAATAAATGCATCGTAAGATATTGATGAAATTGCACTTGTTTCGATATTTTAGTGAGAGTAGAAACTATTTATTCGTCTCTATCTTACCACTGCAAAGTGGTTCTTTTTCTTCAGTTGCCGTCACTTCTCGACTTCTAGAAATACTCTTACGTAAATTTTGCTTCCAATCACTTCGTCGGATTGCTCCACGGCTACGATAGAATCCAAACTCAATGATTTCTACAAGGGTAAGAACACTAGCACCTACAAATAATCCCAACTGACCTCCGATATTACCTATGTAGCAAAAAAATAGTGCAATTAATGAATAATCTATAGAATACACTAAGTTCAGATAGCTATGAAATATTTTATTACTATTGTCAGTGAATAATGTAAGCGCAAGTATGGTATGTAAATAATCCTTTGACATTCGTCTTCAACCAAAAATTATATATTCAAGTTAGAAATATGTATGTTCGCGTCGAACATCATACCTAGTAATGAAGTAAATGTATAAACTGGAGTTGAGACCGTCTTTTCATAATACAGATCGTCGAAGAAGACATTTAGCAGAATATAATTTTGCCTAAATTGCGATGTAAGGTATCAAAAAGAATTCTGGGTTTAAAATTGATGTCCTGATACGACGAATTCAAAGTTATTTCGATTGGGGCTTGTTGGCAGATAGATATGAAAAATGTTTTTACAGATAGCATATCTAGTTTTATTATTAATTTAAAATGGATTAAACTTACGAAATGTAAAGTGTAGGATCAATATCTGGGTCAACAAGACCATGCGTTTCAATTTGAAAAGCTGTCTTGTTAATTTTTTCTGTTAAATCTTTGGCCATTTGAGGATTGGGTATTTTTGCATAGCTGATGGTGGTATCGAAATGCACAATGTGGCACGGTATCGGACAAATACATACTTTATCGTTAATAGTTATCAATTTTTCTGTTATAGAAGTAAAAATACATGCTTAAAGGCTAAGTATAACAATTAGAGCATTGCATTACCGGCCATGCATATAGACTGTACGAGTATAAGATGAGATGGAAATACCAGCTATTGAATGCTATACGGTAGTAGCTATCACAGTTCGATTATAGATATTTTTTAAACTACTTTTAGTTAAAAATTGAAAAGATTATCTTACCTAAATTAGGCGAAACGCATTCAATCATCTTTTGTGGTGAGCAAACTGGAATAATATTTTGTCCTGTCGAAGTGAAATAACTTTAATGAAGTAATATTCATAAACATCTTTTCCCCTTAACACGGCAACTTTTACTTAATTAATGGCAATGATAGTATAGTGTCTTATAGTATTATTATGCGACGGATAGTATGCTGATTTAGTGAAGTAAAGTAATAACTGTATAAATAATTACCTGGCATGTCAGGAGCTCGGCAACCACATTTCTTTTGGACATATTCAGTCTTGCAACTAATTTGGCATCCAGCATAAGTATATTTTTTATAGAAGGCTAGTTTTTTGCTACCGCAATGACCGTACGGTGAAGGTAGGTTGCTAATCTAAGATATTAGTAAATATCAGAGCTCTTATAAGAATAAATCTTACTTTAAATTAAATGATGGATAATATATAACGTAGCAGAGTGGTAATGTGCTAGCTGAAAGTCGATATCGAAGTCATGTAACTATGTATATGACAATTTGATAGGAGAAATGAAGTCTAGGCAAACAAGGTAATGAATATAACTGTATAGTCAGAAAATTTTAAAGTTAAACCAGTTCGTATAAAGTGGAAAGAATCGTTGAAAATTTGACGATTAAAGCTATAAGAGCACTACCTAATTAATTAAAAGGGACGATTTCGATTTATTATATTGTATATTGACTAACGTGATGTAATAAACAAAGTATTAGTTGAAAGAGGTATTCGTATCCACCGAATGAAATTGATACATCTAATAATTTTATATGCAATATAGTATAGAAGAAAAAGAATCAAAGACTATATCAAGGAATAATGAACATTTATATGAGATCAAAAAGCTGGTCTAAATTATAGTGGGCAAATTGTACGATAAACACTTTATTTGATCATGGCGACATAAATAGCAAGATGGTATACTAAATAATATTTTATATGATAGAGTAGCAATTGGAATTACCGATGAGTAATGTATTTAAATTTTAGATTGTGTTTCACATTTAGTACAAAGGGGTAATTTTATATCTAGTGAAGCCGGGAAATACGTAACCTATAGAACTCCGCGCTAATTAATTTATCTATTATAGCAAGAACAATGAACTCCTACAAAAATTGATGAGTAATGTGTTTGATTTTGAAAGGTAATGTTAAATTTTGAAATAAAAGCAAGTAATAAATCAAAGACATTTTGAACTAAATTTACATTTACTATTGTAAGTGAAACAGGGAATATCATTTTACTGACCGTTTTATATTTAACACTGGCATAAGCGTGAGAACCAGGGCCAACAGCTTTACCTTGCGAGGTCACATCAGGCGGGTAATGTCTTTCATGAATAACAAATTTAATACCGATATCTGGTCGATCAGAATGCCATGAACCGGTATATTCATATTCTTGGATATTAATTAATAACTCTAGTCCTTGATGGGCCCCAGGATTTTTCTGATACAGCTTCGGATTGGATTCGAGCTTAGGACCGTTAAATGTAATACAATTACCATAACTGGTCAGAACATTGCTAAAATTTTTAGGTCCACATTTCAATCCACGGAAATGACACGATTTAATCATTTGACTTGCATGGTAGCCTACTCTTTCTACAAATAATTGATAATTAAATTTCTTCGCGTGAGTTGCATCATATTTTTTCCAGTAATTGATTAATTTCTGCCTTTCCTTTTCTCCAATAAAATCGGATACTACTCCTTGATTTAGACGATAGGCTTTGACAAGATAAGCCATATGGATTAGATCATTTGCGGTTACAGCAGAGCGTCGAAAGCTATTATAATTACAAATGGTTACTGCTGGAAATGCCAACTGTTTCTCATAGACTAAGGTTGACTTTGTTGTCGTATGGAAGGCGGAATAGTGAGCAATCTAAGATAAATTTTAAAATCACCTTTAGAATATCTCGTTTATACATAGAGATACTTTTATGAGTATGTATTATTACTGTATTATTGGTTCGGTGCGTAAATGAGATAGTATACAACGAACCAGGTAAATCCATAGACTCATAGCTAAGTTGTAAGGCTATAAAGCTAGTTAATGAAGTTTTAACGGCTATCATGGAGTAGCGGCTAGAAGTAGACCATAGTAATTGATTTAGTAGTCGACATTAATACTATAAATTGCTTTAAATTTATATATTTAATACTTAATTTAAGTTAATTTTTGTTTAAGACTATCCTATGATGCTAAAAATTAAGAATTTTATACTTGGGATCAATTTAAGTGCAATTTTTACGATGATTTGGGCTTGTAGATAATCATTGCGGAATATATTGTAGGCTTTACTGCTAAATCTATAAATATTGGAATGATGCCTTAAAGTGTAAACAACACTTTGGTACTGTGACTTGATTATTTTAGTTATGAAAATGACTCCTTTTTTTCTATTTAAATCTGTCAGACAAGCCTTATCACTGTAATTGTAGCTAACATATATGTAAAACCTTACTTGGATGAAAATAAAGACAAAACAAGCAATCATCGTTGCTGCCACTAAGAGAATCCACAGAATTTTTCTAGTTCCATATCTTCCTTCATAAATATGTTCAATTCCATGAAAGCTAGCACTGAAGGGAAAGTTTTCATCATGTTCTATACTTGGGCGCCACCTAAAGTCTAAGTCAAAACGGTTCCTTGGTTCAGGATTATCTTGGTCAACTTCGTCCTGGTGCGAAAGTATCGGTACTTTTTGAGAATTTGGATGCGCATCTGTGCTACTTTCATCGCTTGCTGTTTTGTTACTGTCATGGTCACTAGATTGACTCATTCTATTGAAATTTCCCATACAACATAAAAAATTAAACAGATGAGTAAGCCGGTAATAGATAGTGAAGTTATTTATATTAAATCTTAAGTGAATAATGCTTGATTTTGCCATTTCTAAGAGTCCATTTTGAAATTAAATATATCGCTGTTAACCCTGTGTTAATTTTCATAACCGATAAGTCTTCAACGTATTCGCATGTTTTAACATCCAATACTTTACATGAACAGCATTAAAAATTCTTAAAGTTTCAAATATACTGATGCATCGTGTCATAACGCTAGCTTTAATTTATAATACTAATTTATAAACCTTTAATGTCAGAAAATTCTAAGATTCCTTAATGCTTGAGTACAGTAACTAATGTTGGTGGAATTATTACATTTTGTCATCTAACTGATACTCATACTGTAATTCAATTTTTAATGAAGAAATAGTACGATACCTTAATATTAGTATTCAGTAGCAACTATACTATTGTTTCTAATCAACTTTCAATTAATTAGGATATAAGAATTAGAATTTTTGTGTTCAGCCGCGCAATAGTTGTCTAAATTACGAAGAGATTTATCAATCTACACTATATACTGCACGTGATTTTTAGCATAAGTATCCTATAATTTATTTTAAGAAATTCTTTTTACGATAATATAAAGTTGACGAAAAAGCAATATCTAATATTTTTCGTTATTAACATATTTTCTACTACTGTGCATATCAGTAGATTATCATGGAACTACTGTAAAAATCATTAGACAACCAATGTATAGTTTAGCTAATTGAACTCCTAGATGAAATATCCATCTTAATATTTTAATGCTCCTTTCTTAAATATTTGATAAATACATAAAGAGTAAGGAGAAAGAATTAGTTATCTGAATACCAAAAGTTATGGATTAAACTAGCTTATACGCTTATACTCTTAGTTAATCTTTGTAATGACCGAGTAATAGCCTCCTCTTATTACGGTAGATTCACTTACTTAACCCAAAATTTGAATTAACAGGATTGAGTAATTTTCCCTAATGTGATACATGAACATAAAGACCGAAAAAATAGCTATGAATAACAACGCTATTGATACGTCCGTCTATCGGAAAAGATTTCCAATTTCTTCTCCTTATAAGAACAGTTGAAAGCGAATACGATAAACTGGATAATTATACTTTAACTCTTGAACTAAAGACAGCCTACATAATCCTATGCTTGGCTATCAGATACGGCCTTAACTGGAGAATCCCAGTCTTATACTAGAAACAGTACAAGTGCGCCGTCTTATCCTATTAGCCAGCTACGGTGCTACTACAATTAGCTGAATTCATTACAATTTTTGATTTAAATATCTTAAAAATCATTTTTTCGTCAGCTCTTTTCAATGAGAGAGTAAAAAAATCAAGTGATAATGAATATTAATGCAATTGAATATGTTACGACCGCGCTATTACTTCCTACAATTAGCTAAAATGACATAAATTGTAAAGGATCCAAATGATGAAATAATCTTCTATTGGACTAGCTAGATTGATATATATGCCAGGCATAGAACATGGGCATGTTAGTGCTCAGTTTCCATTATTCCTTTTTAAAGGATATTATGATTATGAAGAAAGTAAGAAATTTGCAGCATTCATTTCCTTTTAAGTATATTTAGCGGCTTGACATAAAGCTACATCATGGCTTACCTGTTGATAATAGGTGAAAAGGATGGATGTTCTTGTATCGATTTTTAATTTCTTAGTCAGATAAAATATCAAATTAAGTATATATCAGAACTTGAATATTCGTTAATTGGAAGTGCCTTATCCTCAAAGATGTTAATAATTTGAGAAAATTGGATATCAATGCTCAATCTGCTGATTGCCTAATGACTTGCGCATTTTTACAGAAAACATATGGCTATTAAAATGTTCTATATTTAGATAAGCCGCATACCATTTTATTGATATGTATAACTTAACAGATAAAATAACTTCGTTAAATTTTATTAGCGTAAGTTTAACTGGATTTATTTATATGAAAACATTACAATTATGGATTACGTAAGGTTTTCTCTAACTTTTAAGCCAGTTAATCTGAAATACGTTGCTGGAATATCTATTGAAGAAGTAGGAAAAATAAATTAGTCTAATTTCTTACCTATTTCTCATTCAACCTGTTAATGTTGTTTAAAACTAATACAATATGCTGAGTACTATTGATAAAATAGTTTATTATACCATTTTGGTATGGTATTAATCTTACTAATATTCAGTAGTCAAGACAATGCACTTAGTGTTGATCATCTATTTACAAATCGAAATTGTATATACCAATTTAAAATCAGTAGCTAATTTAAATTAATTTGCAGTCCGATTGGATATTAAATCATCTTAACTTAGATATATAGGTCTAAGATGCAGTAACAATTCTAGACTTTAACTATAAAAAATAAATCGATAGTGACATTTAATCTTACGGGCTCTTAATTGTAATAAGATATTACCAATCGATTCGATAATTTCAGCTCTAACAAAAATAATAGTTTCATCAATATTTATTTGAAAATCACTTTAGTTGCTTTAAGGGTAATCCTATTAGTTGTTTCTTTTACTCTTTCCAATAAAGTATTGATAAATTCAGTTTGATAACATCATCATATTGGAAGGCAGAGCAATTTCTGTATTAGTGTTAACATTTGCATGAATACAAATTATTTAGTTTGTCGTTAATAGACTTGTGAGATTTATGGTACAACCCAAAAGAGGCATAATAAGGCAAATTATGCAATATGAATTTATAAGCACTTTGGCACCAATGAAACATGGAAATTCGCCGTTTCTTGTTAGAATTCGGTTACAAATTAAATGTCATCAATGGTCACTATAATGTAAAACCTAATTCTGAATGATAGAGTTCTATAACTACTATTATCATGCTCATATTATGATATTAACATAATTTTCTACCGTAATTTATTGCATTTGCAACCTGTTGCAAAATTCCTTATAGAAGATATAAGGATTGAATTCAATATTTGAAATCGCTTATATTTGATTAGCCTTGTAATTTTCTGCTATATATCATATGTTGATGATCATAATCTCTTTTTCAACCTAATTGTGGTACAATTATTGCTTACAGAATTATTTCAGAATTAGCCAGAAATCATCTAACTCTACAATAGCTTATAAATGAAATTCCAATTTATCGCTGAATGATTTCTAGAATGCAACTGCAATAATCTCTCTTGCAATAATTATCGTATATCATTGTACTAATCTATATTAACAATAGATTATAGAGACACCCACTTGATCTAGATTTAAATATTAGATCAGCCCTTTTATCCACAATATGTTGATGTTGATCTGTGATTACTTTTGGCACCAACTTAAATGAATATAGCCAATGATCTTTGACAATATGATTATGGATTTAACAGATGATAGAATAGGACAATATTGAGGCAAATTTTAACATATATATATATATAGATCCTTAAATAAATATGATCTACGACCAATCTCGGCCATGAGTGAGCTAATGGATCGTCGCTTGTTGTCCTATATCGGCATATTCTCTATATCGAATCATGTCGACCAATGCTGATAATATTGGAGATCGTAGTAATTAAAAAAATCTAGGTCTAGAATCGAAGGATTACTTCAATAAAACAAATACCGTAGTTTAAGCGTGGTGCAAAAGGAGATAGTTATATCTATAGGGGAATAGGAAAGTAAAGATTATAAATTAGCGCTAGGCTACACCAAAAAAATTTGATGGTTTCTGGAATATCTTCGTTTAGCAATCCATTTTAAGTCAAAGAATTGGGTAAGATTGTAAAGTGTTCTTAACTAGAGTAGAAGACACCTTTTAAGCGTTGAGCTGTTAATGTTTTCTGGCTTTAGATTAAGCCTACTTGGTGATCAAATACGTGCACTGCACTCCGTAAAACTTCATTTAATAAAAGATTGATATTTGTTTTATGCAGTATTTTCTGTCAAAACCTTGATAGCTCTTCCCTGATATGACAATAATCATCGCAATTTACTAGTTCTTAATTTCTTCAAAGTCTACTTAGCGATCGATATGAGTGATGACTATAATTAGATATAACGTAAAGCTAGGTGGAGTATTAAACAGTAGATAGTATGATAAACAGCTGTAATATCAGGATGTGCAGTGATTTTGCAGTATAAAATCCTTAAGATTATCTTGGTATGATGATATAATTTGGTAATATATACGTTGCCTTTGGAGCCTTTTCAACCATCTGCAACAAGCTTATAAATTCTTCTTTCATCCGCCTCAGTAGCTACTTCTTACTCTAATTTAAGTCTGCCAAAATACTGCTTTTATCCGTTTAATTAATTTTAACTTCATAATATCCATTAAAGATACTCCATCATTGCATCGTAATTCCTTACCGAAAGAAATCAGCATCACAATTTGAATAATGTGTTTCGAGATCCATCATTTTATATGACAATGAGAGGAGTTTATTCACTATCAAAGGGAATACTAGCGTCTGAAAGGGGCGGATTTACTTAATTTTGTTAAAAATATTTCAATAGAATTCATTAATGTATATCAGTGATAAGGCCACAAGGGTTGATAGAAAATTCTGCTTAAATTTTTGATTATTTGATGATGGCATTCACGTATAAAGTATGGGCCACAGATGTTAATTAATACTAATATAACAAAAATAAAAGATGGCCATTAAGCTTTTCTTTGGTCGTGCAAGCTGTTTCAGTATAAATTGCAATGGAATCATGGGTATTACTAAAATGATTATTGATAATCTGTCAAATCCGATAGAACAGTTAGTCCGTATGAAGATGCATATAATAGATCTAATTAGCAATCTTGATTGGTATTTTTCAATAGAAATTTATAAAAAAGAATATTGAAAAAGCCTTTCTATCTTCGCTCGGTACGTTTGTTACAAATTGATTTAATGGTTTACAGAATATTTAATTTTGCACTTTGATCAAGATATGAAAGTGCGTTATCATAATTAC